CCCCCGAGGTCTCGGCCCCGCCCACTCCCTTGTCCCCTGTCCCCCTCCCCTCGACGTTCTCCCGGAAGCCAGCCTGGCTGGGGTTCGAGGGCGCAGGGCGCACTCACCCCCGTACTGGTAGATGGTGTTGGGGTGGGGCTGCGAGTAGAAGCAGGAGCAGATGAGCGACAGCACGGACAGCTCTTTCATCTTCTCCTTGTAGGCTGCAGGCAGAGGCAGGTGAGCAGGCGTCCTCCCCGTCCCCTCCCCGCCACCTGTCCGTCGGCCACCTCTGCGGTGTTCCTGCCTGTGAAGCCCTTCCCTGCACCCTGTCGGCCCTCTGCACGCCTCTCGGGCTCACCGCTCGCTGGCCGCCCTGTCTTCCGGCCTTCGTGCCCCCCACAATCTCCTGGTTCAGGCACTAGACCGGGTTGACCATGCGGGATTTCGGCGACTGGCCCCATAGCTCCCTCGAGGGGCAGACGAACTTTCCGTGAGGTTTCACACTAGATAATGTTTCTAAGTCAGGCTGACATGAACTTGGGGAACTTTGGGTGTGTCCTGCAGGGACAGGCAGAAGTCACCCAGCCCTGCGGAGCTGTCCTCCCTGTCCAGTGCGCAGGTGGCCTCGCGTGAGCTGAAGTTCCTGGTGACCCAAACTCTTCTGGGAGAGGGGCCTGCAGAGCCAGGAGGCTGCAGTGGGGAGGGAATGGGGACCGGCGTGGGGTGTGGTGGTTAAGGCGCTGGATTTCTACATGGTCAACTGAGGTTCAAGTCCTGGGCCTAGCGGCTTGAAAATCACAACAAACAAATAAATAAATAAATGTTAAAAAGGAGGGGTGGACTTGAGAGGGACACACCAGGGGGTGAGCTTCTTGGGGAGGAGAAGCAGAGCAACAGCCATTGTCCTCAGGAGGGGGACTGGCCCAACCTGTCCAGTTTTGGTTTTTCAAAGCAAAATCACTGATGTATTATTGTGTTATTAAGTTAATTTTAGGGGCCAGTAGGTAGTGTGGTTGGGAGCACTGGATCCCACGTGGCTGACCCTGGTTCGAGTTCCGGACCTGGCGGCTTGCTTTCTCACTTGCCCTCTCCCTCTTTTTCTCTCTCACTCTGTCCCTCTCTGGTTAAATTAAAATAAATAAGTAAATAAAGGTAAAATAATAGAAATAATTCTTAAAAAGGAAACTTAATTTTAGGGACTGTGGAGGGCGACAGCCCTACCGCGGACCGCGCCCTGCCATGGCGCCGACAGGAACTCTCTTACTCGTGTGAAGAGTAAACAGGTTCCAGGAAGTTCCTAACCCGGAACGCGTGCACTTGGGGTCTAGCCAGTAACAAGTCGCATGCTCAGCACGGGACTCTCACACACAGCCCATATGATAGGTTACATTCACTCCCGTACACGTGTACACAACACTGATTGGCCATTTTACTCCTTTTAATTCTGGCCCGTCTCGGGGCTCGCGGGCTGGCTGCTGACTACTCTGGGGAAATAAAGAGACCGTTGGAGAAGACCGCCTTTTGTGTGTCCTTCTTAGTTCGCGGCAGCGTCACGGGCAGCGACAAGGGACCAGCAGATGACATAGCAGTTACATTGCTGGACTCCCACATAGTCAAGTGTGATTCAAGTCCTGGACCTGGTGGCTTAAAACTCACACCAGGTACATCTGTGTGTGCCCAAGATCCTAAGAGAATGGGTGAGAAGGGACTGTGACGTAGCCATCCCTCCTGGGGGTGATTTCCCACTTTCTGTCTCTCTGTCTCTGTCTCTTCAGCGAACGTACATGCCCTATAGCAAAAATCTCTCTCAAAAGGAAAAAGTTAATCTGAGCGCCGTAGTGCACTTGTTCGGTGCTGTGTGTGGGGAGCCAGATCCCACGTGGCTGACCACGGTGTGAGTCCCGGCTGTGGCCCAATCCCCACAGGACGGAGAAGCGGAGGGGCCGGGCTGCAGCACCATCCTGCAGCGGGGTGGTTTCTCCCTCTGTCTCCGGTGAGCACCCTCTGGCAATAAAACAAGTCCATTTTTAAAAAGAGGGTGGGGAGGGGGTGGCGGCCGACTGCAGGGCAGCAGGAAAGCACTGAGCGGGCCGGGAGGCAGGAGGTGGACTGCCGCACCGACAGATTGCCGCGCACTGTTTCTCTGTCCTCTCTGACCCTCTCGTGGAAGGAGCAATACACTTCTAAAAAAGAAAGAGGGGCAGCAGGTGGCGTGCTGGTTGAAGTGCCAGACTCCTACATGGTCGACCACGGTTCCAGCCCCAGACCTGGCAGCTTGCTTTCTCCTACTCCTCTGTCTCTCTCTGGTCAGATTAAAAGAAAACAATATGGGACCGGCAGGTGGTGTGATGGTTAAAACCCTGGACTCCAGCGTGTCCTCCACATCACACAGCCACAGCACATGGCTGACCACGGTTCGAGTCCTGGACCTGGCAGCTTGCTTTCTCACTTTTCTTTTTTTCTGTCTCTTTCTGATCAACCTCAGAAAAAAAAAAAAAAAAAAAAAAACCAACTAAAATAATGACAAATAAAATTAAATAATTCTTTAAAAAATAAGTAAGATTTAATAAATATTCCTTAATAAATTTTATATTTAACAAATATTTCTTAATTTCTTATGTCCTAGGACACATGATGGAGTTGAAGCAAGAGTGAGCTGGTGGGAGCAGCAAATCCTGCTGTCTGGAACTTTTGGAGGATGGGGAGGTAGGCAGCTCTGTACCTGAGAGAGAGCCTGGGCTGGGAGGACAGATCTGGCTCCTGGGAGAGACCGGGAGGGAGGGGACATGGCCCTGCCCTGCCAACAGATCCCAGCGTGTCCTCATCACACATCAGAACCCTGTGTGGGTCTGCCAGCTGCTCAGAGCCCCTCTCGGGACGGAGGTGCATGTCCATGATAGAGGAAGACGTTTCAGAACAAACGCCAGGAGGTTGCCTTCCTGGTCAGGGTCCCCTCAGTGGGGGAGGCTAGCCAGCAGCAAGCCAGGAAGGCGAGGGAGGGTAGGTCTAGGCACCCACCCTCAGGGAAGAAGAGGCGTGGGGCTGGCTGCCCAGCTCCCACAGACTGTGGCCCTGGGAAGTGGGGCCTGTGTCCTGGGGTGGCAGGTGTGAGTGCCCTTCGGCAATGGACCCCTGGAGATGCCGAGATGTGCTTCTCCTAGGTCGATGGCCCGGGAGGGCGAGTCCTCACAGACAGGGGGACAGATTGCAGGGAAGGGCCTAGGACAGAGTCTGCCCCGAGGTCTGACCGCAGAGCTGCTAAGGAATCGGAGCATGTGAGCAGGTGCGTCCTGCTCATAGGGCTAGGGGCCAGCAAGGCCAGACTGGCCACAGCACAGGCTGGAAGAAGCACCTGCATCTTATTTTTAAAAAAATTATATTTAAGGGACCAGCAGATGGTGTAATGGTTACGTCCCTGGACTCCCACGTAGTTGACTGCAGTTGGAGTCCCAGATCCAGCGACTTGAAACTCACACCGGGCATGTATGCATGCATGCCCAAGATCCCCCCGGGAGGGTGATTTCTCGCTTTCTGTCTTTCTTTGTCCAGCAAGTGCATGTGCCCTATAGCAAAAACCTCTAAAATATTGTATTTAATTTTATTACTATTATTATATTTTTTAGAGGTTTTTGCCTTAAGGTGCATGTGTTCACCGGAGAGAGACAGAGACAGAGGGAAAGTGAGAAATCACCCCCAGAGGTATGGCCATTCTGCAGTCCCTTTTCCTCCTGGGATCCTGGGCACGCACGCACACGTGCTGTGAGTGATTTGGGTCTGGAACTGGAACAGTGGCCAGCCATGTGGGAGTCCAGCACGTAACCACTACGCCATCTGCTGGCCACAGTTGCTATTTTTGAGTCTGACCAGAGAAAGGGAAAATGAGACAGTGAGATCCCAGCCCCTAATGCTACCTGCTGGCTCGCGGTATTCAAGGGGCTTAAGGTGCATGTCTTCTGCCTCTCACTGCAGAAGGAAGGAGGCTGAGACCCAGACCTGCCTGTGCCCCTTCTCCACGGACATCGCTGTAGCCAAGGAGTCCCACTGGGCCTGGAGGCACCCTCTCCCGTCTCGTTGACCCCTCCGCTCACTCCCCCAGATCTGTCTCCTCCTCACACAGAGCCCCTGGGGCCGACTCCTTGTCCACCTAAAGCTGCTCTGGAGGCAGACACCGGTACCCTTGCCACTCAGGCCCAGCGGCAGGGGCAGCACCAGGCCGGCCAGGGCAGCAAGGAGCCAGGCGTGGGGTGCTGTGCTGGGCTCTCCACCAGGAGGCGGGGCAGCGCTGCGGCTCGGTGAGACCGTCTCAAACCAGAGACCAAGAAGCAGGCCATCTGCCCAAGCTGTGTGGACTTGCCCTGTCCTGGGTCCCAATGGGAGCAGGAGCGCAGCAGAGTGCCAGGTGGCCCCTCGGCAAACCCCAGCTAGCCTGGCGCCAGGAGGGCGCGGGGCCCACCTGAGTCACACCGTGCCAGAGCAGCCGTTCGCAAGCCTGGGCCTGTGCCCGTGCCCTGCTGTCGGAGCCCAGGGGTGGCGGGCTGCTGACGGGACAGTCTCTGACACCAGGCTGCCCTCTCCCTGGTCAGAGCTGTCTCAGATGTGCTGAGCACGGGCAGAGCCGCCAGCACCACCCGCACTGTTCAGCTGCCGTAGGCAGGAAACCTGGAACTGTGGACACACCAGCACCTCTCCTGCAGCCTCAGAGCCGGCCCTGGGGGTTCTCAGGTCACCCACTCGGGTGGGGCAGCTGTGGCCCTGAGAGGCTGGGGACTGGACTCCTAGCTGCCTTAGGGCGGGAGGCAAGCCACAGTCAAGAGAACTGAGGGGCAGGGGGCTGGCCCACGCCAAGAGACCCAAGAAGGATCCACAGGGAAGCCCTGTAAGAAAAGCTACAGGGGGAACCAGCAGTTAGCGTAATGGCTATGTCGCTGGACTCCCACGTAGTCGACCGCCGTTCGTGTCCCGGACCCGGTGGCTTAAAACTCACACCAGGCGTGTGTGCATGCATGCCTAAGATCTCAAGAGGAGAATGGAGGAGAAGGGATTGCAGCGTGGCCAGCCCCCCTGGGGGGTGATTTCTCGCTTTCTGTCTCTATGCCTCTGTCTGTCTGGTGAGCACACGCGCCCTATAGCGAAAACCTCTCAAAAAAAAAAAAAAAAAAAAAAGAAAGAAAGAAAGAAAGAAGAGCTGCAGGGTGAGCGGGAGGGTCTGCGGCCACCAGTGGGGTCTAGGGAGCATGCTGGCCTCAGGAGGGCCCACCCTGTCCAGTGTCTCTGGGCACCTGTTGGGGAGGGGCATATGAAGCCCAAGTGGACAAGACTCAGACACGGTGGGGGATAGATGCAGCCAGGGACCGTGTGGCTCCCCCAGGACAGATGCAGAAGTCACTTGGAGAGTCCCAGGGCCCCAGCACGTGGGCCGGAAGGGCTCTGCACCCAGCAAAGCTGCGGGCTGGGGAGAGGGGCTTGCAGGGAGGGGCTGAGGGGAGGGGTGTGAGTGCGGTTCGTGGGCGGAAGTGGGGGGAGTGAGGAGGCCTGCAGTCACCACACCCTGCACAAAGATGAAGGGGCCGACAGCAGAGCGCTGAGGGGAGGGTGAACCCTGTGGCCAGCCTCTGCTGGGCTCCTCTCCTGATGGGAGCTATGGCGGCCAAGAGGCTGCCTTCCAGGGCTGCCTTCCAAGGCGGTGGATCCCCAGCACAGGGGGGGAGGGAGGGCAGAGCCCCCCATTCTGGGCGGGTTTGGAAATGGCAGTGGCGCCTCCTCTGTCCAAACCCACGGTGAAAAGGGCGGTGGCTTTTTGGGGGAGAAGCAGTGTCCCCACATTGAAGAGGTGGATCCCCAGCCTGCAGCAGTGTGGGGGCAGGGGCCAGTGACTCCATTGCTCCAGGCTCACACCGGCCTGGGCTCCCTCCGGGTACCTCCACAGCCCCCCTTCCTGGCAGAGACCCTCCCGCCTCCTGCCTCCCGCCTCCCACCTCCCTCCTCGGCTGGGGTTCCAGCAGCCGAGCTCGCCCTCTTACTCCACCTGTCTCCACAGGCGCAGTTGGACCAAGATCTAGGGCCCCCGCGTGCCTCGGAGCACCCAGCCCACAGTCCGCAGAGTGAAAGCCCCCGCCTAAGGGCAGGGGCCCGCCTGGGGACTTCGAGCTGCGCGCTTGGCCAGGCACCGCGGCACCCAAAGAGGCGATGTGCCGGGCTGGTCCCCAGGGAGCACTCCCTTGGGCATGGTGCCTGTCCAGCGCTCCCCATCAGCCCTGAGGGCCCCCCAAGTCTCTGCCCTTGGGGCACCAAGGCACAGAGACCCCGGCTCCTGTGGTCTGGCCCAATCTTCCAATAAGCCAGGGTAGAGGCAGAAAAGCGGGGTCCGCAATCGGCCCCTGCGTCAGACAGGCCAGACAGACAATGGCCTCTGCTCAGACCCCTGGCGCCCGGAGGGCTGGGCCCCGGCTCCTACCGGACACGGTGCTGGCCATGGTGCTGGCGGCGGCGTGGGCTGCGGAGGCCGGAGAGACGCGGGTGCGGCTGGAGCTGCAGTGGGGAATGCTGCAGTGCTGGGGAGGGAGGGCGGGCAGGCGGGCGGCACGGCGGGAGAGAGGGAGGCGGAGGGAGAGAGAGAAAGGGAAGGGGAAAGGGGAGGAGGGCCTCTCCGCTGCTGCCGTCAGAGGGAGAGGGCGGTCTGAAGAGGTGCCCCTCCTCCAGCCCCACAGCCCAGGACCTGCGTCTCCCTGCCTGGCTTCCCGCTGGCTTGGGAAGATAGAGAAAAGAAGCCCTCACTGGGGGCAGGTCCCACCCAAGGTGGGGCCAAGAGCTGTCCAGGCCTGGGCCTGGAGGCAGGGCTGCCCTCTGGGCGTCCCTCCCAGTCTGGGGTCTGGGCTGCCAGGCAGCCAGATGCTGACCCAGAAGGCCCCAGGCATCTCCTCTGAGCCCAGAGGACTGGCAGGTTCCTTGCGGGGAAGAGGTAAGTGGGGTGTACGGCTAGAACGAGGGCTTCAGAGAGAGACAGAGGGGCCCCTGGGGGCCAAGTGGACATTCACTGGCTGCATGACGGAGGACAAGGCCCTGACCCTGCGGGCCTGTTTGAAGGGATGAGATGAGACACTGGTCAGTCCCTAGACAGTGTTGGAGAGCAGTGACCACAGCTGAGTGTGTGTGCCTGGTGCGTGCGTGAGTGGGGACTCCCGTCCTGCCTCTTGGAGGAGCCTGGCAGAAAGATGGAGGGTCTGTCCACTTTCAGGGTTGGAGCCCCCAAAGCTCCAACTGTCCCACACGCCGTCAGCCCACAGACTGGGGTACAGCTCTGGGAAACTTGCAGAGGTGAGGACTGCTCCAAAAGGCAAGACCAGAGGCCCAAGGCCAGCGGTCGGCTGGAACGGGCAGCAGCTTGTGCCAGGCACTCGGTGGCCAGTCTGTGCCTCTAAGGATTAGATGCCTACACTCGGTTTCATCGCGTGGCAAAGCAGATCATCTGGCGGTCTGACCAAGTCACAGATGCCTTTTTAAAGGAAATGATTTATCGAGACCAGCAGTTGGCACAATGGCTGTGTCACTGGACTCCTATGTAGTTGCCCGTGGTTCAAGTCCCAGACCTGGTGACTTAAACTCACGTCGTGTGTGTGTGTTTGCGTGCCCAAGATCCCAAGAGGAGAATGGAGAAGGGATTGCGGCGTGGCCATCCCTTCTGAGGGGTGATTTCTCGCTTTCTGTCTGTGTCTGTCTTTCTGGCGAGCACATGCACCCTATAGCAAAAACCTCTCCAGAAACAAAAAAAAAAAAAGGAAAGAAAAGAAATGATCTATTTAGTATTACTATTATTTTCAATTTGCTATAGGGCACATGTGCTCACCAGAGAGAGACAAGAAAAGTGAGAAAGCAAGCCAGCTGCCAGGCCTGGGACTGGAACCAAGGTCAGCCACATAGGGGTCTGGTGATAAAACTACTATGCCATCTGGTGGTCCCCCAGCAAGCAACTTGATCTTAGCCTTAGGACGCTGAGAATTGTGAGCAAGTGAATGAGGGTGATTTTAAGCTGCTGACTTTGTAGCAATTTGTGGGTGTGTCCAACCAGTGTGAACCAGTACCATGCTAGCATGGGTGGGGGCGCTGAGCCTGGCAGGAAGGAAGGAGGAGCCAAGACTGTCCATACTGGTGCTCACCCTCTGTGGGCCACCGCAGCGCCCAGGGGACCATCAGTGCTCTTCAGAAGACCCACATCCCAGGTGCTGACACTCAGGGGCCAGGGGCAGGAGGAGTGACCCTCTGACACGGAGGGAGGTGTCTCCTGTGGACAGGGTGGGCTCGCCCAGGCAGGGGCCAGGCTGCCTCAGATTGCTGGGACACTGGGCATGCACCCTCCGAGCGGGAAATTCCTGGCATGCCAGGCCTTCGGGGGTCTGACTTCTCACCCATGTCAACTGCAGGCACTTCAGCAGCCATGGCAAAGGTGTTTTTTCACAAACTGAGATTTTATACTTTTTTTTTCTTTTTCTGGCCTTAGGGTGCCAGAGAGAGAAAATAAAAGGAAAGTGAGAAATCTCCCCCCGGGGGTGGCCACGCTGCAATCCCTCCTCCTCCGTTCTCCTCTCAGGATTTTGGGCACACACACACATGTGCCTGGTGTGATTTTCGAGCCGCTGGGTCCAGGATTTGAACCATGCTTGGCTATGTGGAAGTCTGGCACATTAACCACCACACCACCCGGCGGCCCCACCATACTCTTTTTTTTTTAAAAGGTTTTTTGCCTTAGGGCACATGCACTCCCCTCCCCAGAGAGAGACACACAGAAAGTGAGAGGGAAAGTGAGAAGTCACCCCCAGGGGAATGGCCACCCTCAATCCCTTCTCCTCCCAGGAGCGCAGGCGCGCACACACACACCCCTCTGTTTTACGTTGCCAGGTGGGGACTTGGGGAGGGTGGACAGCGGCTGACCGCGTGGGAGTCTAGCGGCGTGACCATTAGGCCACCTGCTAACTGCCCCCCT